ATCTGTATCATGCATATTTTGTCACGCGATTAGAAAATATAGAACATCATACGTATTGGACATACGATTCTTAGTAGAAAATTTCTTTCATCATGTGTGACATTTGCTGTTTGTCGTCTATGCTCAATATTTACACGTACATATTGCATGTATCAGAATTAATTAATTATTTTGGCATTAGGGGGTTTCAAAGTTAAATTCAGAGAATCATTTTATTTTTCCGATTTATAATTCAACATAGCAAAAATGCTATTGACAAAATTCTATTTATTTTCGAAATGAGTCACTTATTTGTTAACTTTGAGAAACCCCAATTAGGCCAATTTCAACTTCAGCTGTGATACTTATTTTTAAAATTAACATTATATCTATCATATTAATTAGACGGTAAGCATAAATTCCTATTTCTGTTCATTTTAACGACTTTATTCACATGATTTTTAAATCACTTTAATTAGAAGGTAAGTACGAAATCTGTATTATAAGAATGTTTAAGCATATATTTAATAACTATATTCTGGTTAAATTATCAGTTTGTAAGTATAGTATTATTCAATATTCTCTGTAAAATTTATGTTACTATAAACTTTATTGTTAACCATAATCAACACTAGGGAGTGAGTATAAAAATTTTTTATTAATTTAAATTGGGTGTTTTAATACTGTATTTACATTATATATTGTAATAAATTATTAGCTTGTGAGTATCAGCTTGACAAACTCGTTACAGTTAATTTTAAATTCAAGATTAATGTATACTTTAAATTGCTAGGGAGTATGTATAAAGTATATCAAAATCAGCTATCGAAAAAATTTATTCACTTATATTAAATCTCTCGTTAAAAATCAGAGAGTGAGTTTAAATTTTACTTGTTATTTTACGAGAATATGTATATTATTAGTTTTTATTCATTCTGCTAAATTATTAGAGGGTGTGTATAAAAAACATTATCTTTTGGTTAAAGCCTTAATGTTGAGAGAATTTACATGTACACAAATTATTCATTTGCACACGTCAAATTATCAGAGAGTACGTATAGTGTTTATCTATCTTCTGTATCAAAAGAAAATTGCACTTATTATTATTGTTCCCCTCTATAATTTAAATTATCAGCGTGTAAGTTAAGGTTTACTTCTATTCATTTCAAGAATGAATTATTAAAATTTTTAATTTACTAGTTTGTGAGTACAATGTCATTACTGTATATCTATAATTAAATATTAAGAGAACTTACACGTATTAAACTCTAGCATGTAAGTGTAACCACTAAGAATTAATGTAAGCAACTAAAATTGTTATTTACTTACTCTTATTAAATTACTAGAAGGTAGGTAAAATAGTTTTGAGCATATTAAATTGAGAACATCATATAATTTATATATTCTATCTGTATTACTAGAGAGTGAGTAAAAAGTTCATTTTTTATTTAATTTTATACTATGAAAAAATTCTAGATTTGTTTATTTTTCTTTTAAACTATTAGGAAGTAGTTATAAAATTTATTACTCATGCGCGTTTGAGTGTTAAGGAGATTTATATTTACTTAAATTGTTTAAAAATTATAAGTGTGTAAGTGTAAATTTTCTATTATCTAAAATTTATTTTGATTTATCTAACTATTTTCAGTTAAATATTTAGTTTGTAAGTATGAAATGTTGCTCACTAAGTCATTTTAAAATTTATTCAAAAGAGCTTATAATATCCTCATATTATATCTTTAGGGGATCTAATGAGTAAGTATAATCTATTTTTATAAATTCAAATACAAAAAATTTACCAGTGAATTGTCAATGTTTACAATAATTAGTCGGTATGTATATGTAAATTATAGATCTTGGACATTAATAAATTACCCAAGCTAACTGGGTGGTCATATTCACTCTACCCTGAGGAGTACATATGTTACAGTATGTTGGATAACCTTTATAGTATTATATAACATAATCAATAATTTTAAAGTGTCTATAGAATTTTTCCATTATAGCGAGAAACTCAACTTTAATTGGGTCCCTATAATGAGGGCAGAGTGCAAGAGCAATTTCTATAAATTCATTTAAACCTATTAAATCAGAGAATTGCTAACTCTTACTAAATTGCAGGTCGTAAGTATAACTTTATAGTTTGAATCTAAATATCAAGAGAACTTTGTATACTACTGAATTATATACCTTCGTCTTAAACTATTAGGGAGTGAGTCTGAAATTTATTTATTAGTTTAAATTTGCTCGATCTGTGAATTTACGTTAAATGGCTTTAAACCATTAATTAGCTGGTAAGTATCAAGCATAGAAATTAGTAATGTTTAAATGAAACTATTCACTTATTTTACTAAATTTCTAGGATGTAAGTATTTCAGAGCTGCTTATACTAAATCTATTAATATATTAAATTATTAATTTGACTTGGCAAACTATTAGAACGTAAGTGTAAAGTTTATTCCATATAGTCGATCATCACCTTTGCAAAAGGAACCTCCACATATGATAGTCCTTCGTTAATATCAGCTACACAAACAGTTTAGTTAAAAATATAGATATTTGTCCTATGATGAAATATTTATAATCATAGGGTCAATATTAAGAAGCTGACATTAATTGTGCAACTGTATGATGGCAAAAAATGAAACTTAAAAGTTCTTTTATGATATCGCAAAATGAATCCCATAAATTATTACATATAAGAAACTTACATATATCTTGTATTAATTAGACGGTAATAAAGATTAATCTAAAGCCTATACAATAAGTAGTTTACTTTGGGTGTGCCATTAATCATTCATTTCATGCACTCAATCAACAGTTTGTAAGTTAAAATCCATATTAAAATCAGAAGGTTATAAGAGCCAAAATATTAAACAATTCATTTTTTTAGGTCGTTAGTATTTAAATTACATGTCTCTAATAGGCTTACCCATACCGCTCCGCAATTAAACACCTAAAATTAAGCACTATCATAATTTATATGTACTAAATAGCTAGAAATAAGCACCCGTGATATTTATATAATTTTTTATTGTATCATATAAAAGTTTATCTATTGTGTTTAACAAAAGATCAGAAATTAATACCATGATAACAAAAATTTATTTAATTTCGGAACGGTGCGGTATTTCTGTAATTAAATTACTTACCTCACTCACATTATTTTAACAGCATGTGAGCATAGTGTGCAATTCTAATGCATTATGCACACATATATATTAAATTTTGCTTTTACTTTATGCTAAACGTGCTAAATTACTAGCTTGTATGTATTATTTTTCTGATCCGTTGAAACAAATTGAAAAAACTTATTCATTATTGAATTATTAGGGAGTAAATATTAAGTTCATTTCTTTTCATTTGGAATCTATATAATTTCACCATTTAATTAAATAAACTCTAATTAACTGTGTTAAATTAGGAAGCAAGTATAAATTTATTTTTCATTTATAATTTAAATTCAAAATTTTAATTATTGTGCATTTAAAAAGAGAGTAAGTATGGTAAGGTCTATTTCTATAATGATTTATTGTTAAATATCTTAATTTGTTCTTTACAAATTAAATTGTCAGTTTGTAAGTATCAAATCATTTCATTTAATAAGGTGAACTATTGAATAATCTTTTTAATTAATTTAAAAGGAAGTAAGTTTATGTTTGTCAAGAAGTTAAAATAAAGCTCTATATAACTAATTATTTAAACTACAAGGAGGTGAATATAAAGCTCATTTAAATTCATTTATTAAAAGGAAAAGTAATAACCTCTAATTACTTTTTCATGAATTAAAAGCGGGTAAGTGTGGATTTATTTTGCTAAAAAGATCTGACATCAAATAATGCAACCATAATCATTTTAATTTTAAATTATCAGCTTGTGAGTATAAATAAAACTTCAGAATCGATGCATTAAAAACATTTATTAATATAGCTACTTATATATTCCAGGACGTAAATATAATTTTCACTTTATTAATTTTTATTGCGTTCATTATTGTATAATCCCTGTAATCTTGAAAATAAAATAACTAGAAATTTTCTTACTTTCTAAATTACCAGAGAGTAAGTCAATTAATTATTTTTCATTTCAAGCCAATACTTACCATTGAAATTTTCTAGATTGTGAGCATAATTTATTTCGGTCCATCGTTGCACCTTACAATTTTAATAATATACTCATTTATCAAACTATCAGAATGTAAGAAAAAAAAAATATTTTTATTCATTTTTTTTACAGTAAACGAGTCTATGATTAACTAACTTTATTCGTTTAATTTTAAAGGAAGTAAGCGTTAAATTGATTCTTTATGAGCTTATTTAATCATTAATTATAAAAATTTGTAACATATGATTCATTTAAACGTTAAATTAAGGCAGTAAGTATAAAATTTATTTACGTGTATATCAGTGGGTTTATGGATATTAAAACCAATATTTGCTTTAAAACATAAGAGGGTGCGTATTAATATGAAGATATGATTAATTTCTATTAAATAATATAATTATTTATTTATTTTGTAAATTGTTAGATTGTAAGTATTAAGCGCTCTTTAAGAAATTTATTTATCAGAACGTAATAAATATTATTATTCAATTCTAATTGTCTTATGCCATAAATTAGGAGGTAAATATAATTCTATATATAATTATCAATAATCTTGCAATTAAATGGCTTATTTATTTAATAATAACTAGCATGTGAGTATATACCTAACTGAAGATATTTAAATGATACTGTCATGGAAATTTACCTTCATTATGTTTAAAGGAAGTAAGTTTGGCTTATCTCAATACATTAATTCAAGACTTTATCATTAAACAATTATTTTTTTTGTATAAGGGAGTGAGTATAAATTTTGTTATTATGAGGATTTATCATGAAATCATTAATATTCCGCCCTATTTTTAATTTAGACGGTGAGCATAAAAAATATTTAAGTTTAATTATTAGAATTTTATATAAATTATCTTTTAATTACGTCTTAAATTAGACCGTAAGTATAAAGTTAATTATCCATTTTTATGCAGCATATTATAAGAATTTTAACCTTGATAATCTACATTTATTTACCATTATTTTCTCGAAGTGAATGTAATGAATGTGATGCAACACTCGTTATCAAAATAAACGAAAGAGGAATTGAATGTTGTCAACAATGTTGTAATCAATGGCCTAGCGTTAGTCCTATGTATATTTTTGAGATACCAGAGAAATTCATTTCAGATGATGAATCAAAATTGCTAAATGAATCAAATGAATTTAAAATTCTTGAAAGCCTTTGGAAGGAATTTAGAGAAACCAACAAAAATATGATGATTTTTGCATTTAACATCAATTTGTATTTAGAAAAGAGTCTTAAAAACTTGCAAACATTAGATCATCCATTTGTCAATGAATGGGAATGTAATCTGGAAGATACTTTTCAAAGTGATATTGATAATTTAATTGAGCAAATTATAGAATTTTCGCACAAAGCTTGGGAAATTTGTGCCAAAATTTCCGAGCAATTTGAATATTTTATGAAATCCAAACAAATACTTACAAAAATTAAAGAAAAAATTTCTAGAATTCAAAGAGGATTTCAAAGTATAAATACTACACATGATAGTATAAAGGAAGCTAGTGATGAGTTCAAGAATCCAAAAATAAAAGAAAGAAGAAAAGTAGAATTATTTAATAAGTTAAAAGAATTAAAGAAGGAAGGTGATAAAATTTTGAAAGTGAATTGGTTAATAATTAAATTGGAATATGTAGAAGAGAAGTTGAACATCAATTCTAATCATTTTGAAAAAGCATTAGGTTTGTTTAAATTTATTATTTACTAATATAGTTAGTTTAAGAAAATATTATAGCACTATAGCATCACAATATCAAGAAGATAAATTTATATATTAGAGTTAGAAATTAAATAATAATTGAATGATCAACGATAATAGGAATAGGTAAAAGCATATGCCTTTTATTAAGTTTATACTGATAGTTGTAAAAAGTCTCCATTTGATCATTTTTTAAAGTACGCAAGCTTAATCAACTCAAACAACCTTTGTATATGAAGTAGGGAAAGATTTTGATGTGACTATCTTATTCTTGGTTTGCTATTACGCCTAACCCATGACGTTGTTACTTAATTTCGTTGTATATCAGAATCCCGACACACAGAATCCCGGCAACAAAATCCCGATACACAAAATCCCGACAAATTAAAACCTAATTTTAATATTGTTAGGATTTTAATTTGTCGGGATTTTGTGTATCGGAATTTTGTTGCCAGGATTTTGTGTCGGGATTTTGTGTGTCGAGATTCTGATATATGACCCTTAATTTCCCGATGGCCATTTATCCGGCACCATTTAAAGTTAGGGTTAGCACTTATATTAGTTGTAAGTATATATTATTATTAATTACATAGTGTCGATGAAATAGCCATTGGGAAAATTGTACGTAACCACACTATGATGCTGCAGTGTTTCAACATAATAATTTTTGATATGCTTGTATAGAAATACACTATATAAATTGTATTATAAACTTTTAATATTAATAATTTATAAATTTATATACAGATTTTTGGAAGAAACTTTCTTACGAATTTCAAGAAAATGAAAACTTCACAGTGGAAAACATAAAAGACGGGGAATTATGTGTTAAAGAATGTGCTTTAAATTATATTAAAGAGAAGCAAAAACAAATTATGCTTATGGTTAGCGATTTTTGTGAAAATATCATCACGAGTAATAATGATGAACATAATGAAAACTAAAAGAAATATATTGAAAGGAAGTTTTAATTTTAGTTTACA